TGTTCCATTGATCTATGTGTCTGTTTTTGTGCCAGTACCATGCTGTCTTGATGATGACAGCTTTGTAATAGAGCTGGAAGTCCGGAATTGTGATGCCACCAGCTTTGCTGAGAAAGCACCTTTATACATTGACTTGGTGGAGGCACCCACCCTTGAACAAGGAAAAGACTTGTTATCTCTTTGATTTATAACCTATCATTTCACATATATAAAGAATATCAGGCAGATATAAAGTGTGTTTACACAAGGTAAGGCTTTGCTATTTTCTTGTGCTTATTACTAACAGAGTGCCAATTTTCTATTATAATTATGAAAGATTTTTTTCATTATGTTATTCATAACTAAATGTTAAAGCAAAAATATGTCATTCTTGTAGCCTCTAAGCTTGGAGTAAGTTTGCAAAGTTTTGTTTTAGTTATTTTTTAATAACAGCATATCAGTTGGCACTGAAAATCTAAGAACTGTGTTAAAGCTCTTGAAAAAATGTTAACACATGCACTTGGCTTACGTATTATTCATAATATATTTCCTACAACTACTCTGATGTCTGTATTTTTAATTATCACTGTACTGTTTCTATAGTGACATAGTATTTGAATTTTCATGCTCAATTATTTTTATCAAAGTTTCATAAGCTTGTTTTTTACCTTCCTTTTTCATAATACCTGCAAAAATGTCCTTCCTTGAACATAAGGAGACCAAAATCTAATCTGTGCCAATCAAGGTGTAAAACCCTAAAAGGGTTTCATCTTGATTACTCAGAGAAGGACAACCTCCTCCATTAATATAATGGTGAAAAATTTATACTCTGATCTTACCAGTCACTGATTTCTGGATACAAGTGCTAAAAATAAGTATTGGTACATAATGTAACTTGTTTACTAAAGACCCTGTGCTGAGGTTCAAAAGGTAAAGAGCTGAATAAATGTATATGAGAGGAAAGCAATTTACAGGTTTACAGATAATTGTCAAGCAATTAGATACCTTTTCTTTTTTGATTCTGTAATACTTTTGTCAAAATACTTAATTTTCATTATGGAATATGGATCCAGTATGGAATAGATTTAAATTAAGTTGATAGCACATAGTTTTCTTAGTTATCTTTGATATGAGAAGCAAAATGATTCAGCCAAGTGGAAGCAATAATCACAAAAGAAGCAGAAGTTGGGGATCAAAGAGCAGTTACAGAGGTTTTTTTTTTTTTACTGGTTAACACATTATAGCTAAAAACATAAAATATTTGTCCTTGGATGGGCCTGAATCATTGGTCTCTATTTCATGTCTACTCTGTATAGGGCAAATCAAATGAAGCATTCTTGACCCACAGATTTGTAAACTAGAAATTTATTTAATTGGGGGTCATAATGAATCTAGAAAGCACTATTCCTTTCAATTCATACATATTAGACATAAGGAATTGGGATTTAGTTTGTGTGTGTGCTTGTTTGTTTTTGGCTAGGAAGTCTTAAGGACCCCAAGGAAAATGGATCAGTTTGCACTCTCCTTAACCAGCCCTAACAGTGTGTCTGTTCCTGAACCTCTCAGCCTGAGGACTGTAGAAAACAACTGCCCAGGCAAACTCTGGGATGCCTGGATGCTCAATAGATGCCACAAATGCTTACAGATGCTTACAGTGGCTCTGTAAGCCTGACTGGGCAAATGGCCCTTATACAGTCTTGTTCTTTCCCTTGTGGGAGATGAGAGATATGTAAATTAGGCAGCTCTTCACCCAGTGTTCAAAGATGGAGGAAACAGCCCCAAACCAGAAATTGGTCTGTCATTCCTTATCAGAAATCTTTGTTTTTCTTTATGTTTATCCAACAGAAATTTTAGGATTCACTTTGCCTCCCTCTCATATACATTCACTCAGCTCTTCACCCTTTGAACCTCGACACATATTTTTTTCTAGCTGAGGGTCTTTATCCTGCCTTTGTTTTTCTTCCCATACTCAGTCACCAGATATAAGACACTTCCAACAATATTGAGAAAATTGTTGCTTAAATTTTAGTTACTGCCCTGTACCAACTAGGAGCCTATAATACTAATTAATAACAGATGTCAATTCAGACCATACATAGTATAATCGATGTGGTGCATTTAGAGAGTTGAGGAAAGCTTACTGAGGTAATTTTATTCCATTACATAAAAATACTGATAATAATGATAATAAATAATGTAAAAAATAACTTCTTTTGGATGCTTACCATGTGCTAGGAACTCCCTAACTTCATTATGTGTACTAGTTCACTTAATTCTGTTAACGGATTTTACAGGCTAGGTACTATTTCATAGATTAGGACACTGAGATACACTAGAGGTAAGTAATTTGCCCAGTAACCGGCATTTATATATAGGAAGTATCGATCCAGAACCCATGTTCTTAGCTGCAATGCTATCTGGAGTCTTACAGCACCAAATAGAAGCATAAATACGTTTCTCAGCAACATGTAAACACATGACCACTATTTCACTTGTACCTCTTTAAAAGAAACATTATAAGTTTCTACCTACCGAAAGTTTCTTATTTCTTTCATTTCTGGAAATCATATGCAACTCAACTTATATGGCTATGCGGATATAAAAAAAATTCCTATTTTTTTTTAAGGATTTTATTTATTTATTTGACAGAGAGAGACACAGCGAGAGAGGGAATACAAGCAGGGGGAGTGGGAAAGGGAGAAGCAGGCTTCCCGCTGAGCACGGAGCCCGATGCGGGGCTCGATCCCAGGACCCCGGGACCATGACCTGAGCCGAAGGCAGACGCTTAACGACTGAGCCACCCAGGCGCCCTGAAAAATTCCTATTTTTTAAATAATTTAAGGATTAAACCTACCTCTTTATACTTTACTGAAATGAATTATTTTCTCCATGTAAATAGATTTTAGAGGAGTCCTTGATTTACTCCTGTTACTCATTTTCTTCATCTTTTCTCCTTTCAACTTAGAACTACACATTCCTTTTACTTTCAGGCCATATTTATGTAAAGTTGGTGACCACCTTTAAATATATAATTTCTATATGAAGTGCTACT